CACTTCACTGTGTGAAGCACTATGTTTTGAGTCTGTGAGTGCCAGGCGGTGATGGCAAATACCTTTAATCCCAGCACTCAGAAGGCAGAGGCAGGCAGATCTCTGTGAGTTCGAGGCCAGCCTGGCCTATAAGAGCTAGTTCCTGGACAGGCTCCAAAGCTACAGAGAAACCCTGTCTCGAAAAACCAAAAATAAAAAATCAATCAAAAAGATTTTGAGAGCACTACCCTTATAACACTTCAGATTCCACTCCATGATAACACCACTAACATCATGAATGGGCTGGACAGAGAAGGAAGCGCTGTCCCTGGCTTCTGCAGCCTGAAGTCCTGCATTCCCCTCAGATTTGATATCATATTCCAAGGCAGGGTTCAGATATTCAGGCTTCATCTAAGAGCCACCTCACAAAGAGCTCTTTATCTAAGCTAGTCTTTTCCCTCACACTCCTCCCTTCCTTCAACAGCATACAAAATCTATACAGTTTAGCCAGGGCTGGCCAGGAACTGGGAGTCCTCCTGCCTCTAGCCTCCCAAGTCCTGAGATTCTATGCAGATCCCCAATATTTCTTGAATCAAAAATTAAAAGGCCTAGAAACATTCCTTTTCACATTCTTTCCTCTTACAAATTATGTGTGGCACACAGCCATGGAAGTCACGGAGCTCCTGGAAGACTAACAAGGGATGCTGGGTAGCAGTGAGAAGGTTTCTGTCTGTCTACTGACTTTTAGACAGACAGACTGGTGAGCCTTCATGTAACAAACTAAACTTAACATTAAGAGCCATGAGTGCTAACTTCTCAAGAGACAAAACCCTTCAGTCCTGCAGCTAACTCATCTGAAGACAAAGAAAGAGAAGGAAGACATAAAGGGCCCAAGAAACCAAAGGACAGGCACGGGAGAAATGTAGAGAAAATTAAGGCTCACAGACCCCAGAGAACATGGTGCTTTTTAAGCAACACACCCATCTTGTGGCCATTTTAGATACTGCCACATCAACCTTAATCCTCAGTGCACTTTTTCAGAAAGAACAGGAAGCATAAGGCAGGGAGAGCAGGGTCAGAGGCTTGAGCCTCACCAGGCTTCCTGTCACTGGCCCTCATGCCATCTGGTAAACCATGTGACTTCCACTAGTCTCAGATTCATGCCTGCTGTTCTCCCCCTCACCCACTAAGCTATGAAGAGTAAGATGCTTGTAAGAAATATCTATAAATCATAGCATTATCACAGTACTGAAACACAGTAACAACACAAGTATTTCTAGTCACATGAGACAAAGTATTTCCAACTCTCATACTAATCAGGAGGTACAACCCAGTAAACAAAGCACAATTTAAGAACATTTAAAAACAACAGAATAGGATACCAATGAATGGCAGAGCCAAGCTTTAAAATTCTACACCAAAAAGTTGAAAAGTTTGGAGGCTAGTTTCCATACCTCAATAGTCCCTTAGCACAAAACCCCTTTCCATGTCTAGAAGAGACTCCAACTGCACAGCTCACGATGTCATTTCCTGATATTTCCTGACACAGGACACAGAGCTCGTGATGCATTTGCCAGAGACTGAATCTGTACCATGCAGTTTCACTATGCCAATAACCTGACCCAACCGCTCCGTCTGTTCTCCTCACTATGTCAGCAAGACCGAATTACTCCTGTGCGTGCTTCCCTGCATCGTTCACCAGAAAAGCTTTGTGTCTTGTAGCCTGGGAAGCTATAGGCTTTTATTGCAGAGTGAATTTCAAGAAAAATTAGACTCACCTAAAGTAAGAACAAACAGGGGGAACCATCCAAAATGCACCCCAAGCAGGCAAAGTGCTCCAGGAATGGGAGGAATTTCATACCCCAAATGAGATAGATATACATGGTGTACAAACACTGTGAAGGCAGGTTGTTGTCTGATCTTACTAAGAAGGACAGGAACTTATTTGAGCTATGGAGAAAACATCTGTTTACTAACATGTTTTCAACTAATATTTGGAGCAGGAAACTCTTTTTAAGACTTGCCCAAATGTTTGTAAAAGAGTAGGTGGAAACTCAACAGCCAGCCAAGCAGTATTTTTACGTCAGATACTACACCTGCACTGCTGAGACTCCGCAGTAAGCAAGAATAAGTCTGTCCTGCTGTGGACTCTGTTTCAATGAGGCCCGATTAATTTGTGAATATAAAGGGCTGGGGAAAGCGGTTAGATACCGTGGTTAGAGAAGACATCTCTGGGATCTGAAGGGAAGTCATGTACACAGCTAGTACAAGAGTTAGTTCTAAGTTGAAAAGTTAGCTACTGTAAAGAGCAGAGGGGTAAACACACTCAGTGTAGTCTGAGAACACAAGGAAGCCAGGGGAATCTGAAGTAGAAAACAAGTAAGAGAAACAGGAGATAGAATCAGAGAAGCTGTAAAGACCTTGCTCATGACTGAGGTGAACTTGTGAGCCGCAGCAGGACACCAGAGTTTGGTGATAACATACACCAGACTTTTAAGCAAAGGAAAAAAAGGATGGGAAAACAGAGGGTCACTGCAGAAAGGAAGTGGTTTGAGGTGGGCAAAATCAGGGTACACTTTAATGACAGGCTATGGGGTGTGAAGATAGGTATTGTGATATTTTGTTTGTATCCTGACAAATCAAGAGGGTGGAGCTAGCCACTAGGTAACCATAGAGGTTTGGAGACCTGTACAGACAGACTGGGAGTGATAAGGCAGGACGGAAACAGGAGCTTGGCACTTTTCAGTCTGAGCAGTTGGAGAAGTACGTGGTGACTGTGGCTGATCCTTTACTTCTCTATATCTGATTCTGGGTTTTATTTATTAAGACTGATTAGGATAACGCTTCATATAGTGCCTGTGAACAAGTGGAATCAAAAGTTGCAACAATGTTCCTGTCCTAGGTCCCAGGGTCATCAAGAAAGGACAGGGGAAGGAGAAAGAATGTGGGCAGAAGAGAGGCCTTCTCACAGGCGGAACCACGTGAACACACGTGAACACATGTGACTGCGTCAGAGCTCACTTGGCTCTGCGCCCTATACAAACCTATTCCCATGTGACTGTACTGAAACAGAAGCTATCATTTCCCGAGCCTTTACTAATTTCTAGGCACTATATTAATCAATGTACATACTGTCATGGCTAACCCACACATAAAAGCCAGGGCATCTAGCGTATTGTATACAATCTCAGATAGCATTACTTTTCTCATTATATTTTATCATCTTTTAATGACCAGGAAGCCATTCCAAGCTCTTGCTGCCCCCTCAAGGTCCAAAGTCACACCCACATGGTTATATGTGAGCAATAAGACCCTGATTATAAGGCCCAAGTGCTTTGGAATATGGATGTGTGGGTTCACACACACTATAGGCACATGGTTTACATTTCTCTCATTCATATATTGGACATTTTCTACATCATACTTTACCTAATTTCTCTATGCACTAACAGAGGGTTGTCTTTGTTAAATTAATGTGACACATGACCCAGATAATGTTATTTCATACAGAGCCTTGGGGGTAGAATCAGCTCTGGGTTCAGATCTGAGTCCAGTTCAGATCTGAGTCCATCAAACTCTTCACTGTACCTCATGTGAACCTAAACACAATCTTTATTAGGCCTTTACTCTGCCTGTCTCTATCCTGAAATTTCTAATTAAAGCCCCTTCGATTATAGTATTTCCTCTTTAAAAACACAAATTTATCAAAACATGAGTACACCGTGATCATTTATATATTAGCCATAAAACCCATAAAAGTTATAAAGTCATGTGTGAAGTTAAAGGATTATGAGGGTTCTCCACATATTTTTACTTCTTTTTTTTTTATTATTTTTACTTCTTTTTAGAGAATTTCTGATCACAATAATTAATGTCAAAGGGTGAAGTTAGCACAGTGAAAAACCAAGAAAGCAAAATCTGTCCCAAACCAACTCAGTGTCAACAGGGTTTCTGTCTCATCTTTCTGTACACTGGACAGTTACACTCCTCCTACAGCAACAGACTGTAGCCAATGAGGTTCAACTCAAGGATGTGATATACAGTCCTCCCTCAGGATCCACAGGAGCTGGGTCCAGAATCAGAGCATGCTCAGTCCCTTATATCAAGTAGTGAAGTGTTTGTGTGGAACCTGCATGCGTCCTACCATGCATAGAGAAATGACTTCTAGATTCAATAATACCTAAACACAATATAAATGCTGCATATTAATTGGCATACTATTTAGGGAATAATATCAATGAAAAAATAATAATAAAAATAATTCATGTATTTTTCCCAAATACCTTCACTTCACAATGGGTTGAATCCATAGACAGGAAACCCACAGATAGAAAATGTCAAGTGTTTATGAAGGTCTTTTAAAAACAGAAAGGTGCAAGCTATACAACACAAAAGCAGATGTCCTTATTATGGGGTATGAGTCCTTAATTTGAAAATGGGAAGTCCTGCATGCTCTCAAAAGGAATACTGTTTTGTTTTTGTTTCAGTTGGTTTTGTCAGTTAGTTTTGCTGTGCAGACCAGGTTTTCTTGGAGTTCACTACATAGCCCAGGCAGAACTGAAAATAAAGAATCTCCTGCCTCAGTCTCCTGAGTGCTGAGACTACAGGTGTATATCACCAACCTCAATAAATCTGAAAAAAATGTATTACTGACATGATATCATATCTGACTACATGGGATACCACAGCCAAACATAAAAGCACACTAAGCAACAATGTATTGTAATGAACTTCAGGTTATATATACAAACTATATATGAAATACACATGAATTTGAAAAATACACTTGAGTTCTAACCCCAGGGCAGTTTAGTAAAAATAAAAAGAGCAACAATGCCACTCCTACCAAAGCAAAACACAACAGAAAGCCCCTGACCATTTCTCAAACACTCCGGAACAAATATTTAAGATAAGGACATCCTGTGTGAGCTATCAATTATATATTATAAGCATTAACGATTTCATCAGAGACATCAACTGAAACACAGAGAATGACCTAACACAAACGGTAGTTAGTGTACCTTCGTGTTGCAGGCCAGCTCCATAAGCCTCTTTGCATTTTCTTCTGAGCGGTACCTTTTAGGGAGCTGAACCCTGAAGAACTTCAAGGCACCCTCAAAGTCTGTCAGCAGCAAGTCGTCCTTGGAAGTCTTGAATTAAGAAAAAACAACCATATGTAGGAACAAAATGTCTGTTATGAAGATACCCAAGAGCCATTTTACAACTGCACCGTTTTGCAGAGTCCTAAATACACTGCGCCAATGAAAATGGCAGAGCACACTGACCGCTGTGTGAGAAGAAAACTACAAACACAATGGAGCAGGGCAGGACACCAGACAACTCAGACATGTACCTTCAGTAATCCAAGGGCGACATTAAAAATGACACTTATTCCCTGAAAGAGAAGAGACAAGACAGTCTTAGTGTCGGTATCCACTTTGTCCTGTTAGCTGTAGCGCCATCATGGACAGGTACTCCAGCCCTGTTCTGACGCTCAGAGAGAACGAGTAGTTCTCCAACAGCCCATGACTCCACAGCAAACATGACAGTCACACAATCTATCAATATGACAATCGCACAATCCCAGACCTGAGCTTTCTTGGAGGTCTCTAATCTGTCTTCCTCATCTGACCAATATGGAAGCTGTGTAGTTCAGAACAGGTGAACTATCTTCACACTAAACAGTTAAGGTGTCTGGGCCTTCATCTCTAGAACTAATACTTCCCTTATTTTGGTATTTTCAGACAAGGTTTCTGTTTCACCCTGGCTGTCTAGAACTCACTCTGTAGACCAGGCTGGCCTTGAACTAAGAGATTCACCTGCATTGAGGCGTCCTGGGATTAAAGGCTTGTGCCTGGCTATATTTTTCAAAATATAGAAGTAGAACTGTAATACATCATCATATAACATTACAGTGGGAAAATGTCATACTGCATATAAAAACAGGTGTAAAAAAGGTGAAAGAATACACACCAAAGTGCTGTGTAGTTAAATTGTAGAGACACCGAGACTGAAGTATTTTCAATTGTTTTCGATCATATTTTCTGAAATTTCTACTGAGGGCACATCTTTTCTAAGTTTTTTCTTTCTTAACACATACACACCTCTCAAATCTCAAACTATGTCAAGGCTAAGGACATTTTTCACACTGCCTTGTTTCTTTTAGTGTCAATGCTCTACTTTAAGTAAATTTCTTCCTCACCTCAAGTCATCAAGTCATTAGCTAGTATGGTTGTGTAACTCGGCCTACTCATGGAAATGCTGGGGGACCTCTATCAAGACCTCTCTTTAAAAAGAAAAATGCAGAGCTAGGAGTGCTAGCATACAATTGCACTCTCTGCATCAGGAGACACCAAACAAACATCCCCTCAAAAGGAAGGTACCAGTTCCCAATACAAGTTCAGATATGACAGCTGCAGCTTAATTCTAAGGATAAGACTCTGAGGAAGCTGGGCACTGCAACCTCTGTCTTCCTCTACACAAGAAAGGAACCCATTTTATTTACTCAGTGTCACAGTGAGTGTTACTGAATACTAAGTAGTCTATCTGTCTCTTCTCAGCAGAGAACCTCTGTGAAAAGGGTGAGCAGGACACTGGCCTCAGCCCAGATTTGGCAATCCCCAAACAAAACAAAAGATGAGATCTGACAGAGCCTACAGCAGGAGTCTAAGGACTGTGAGCACTGACACATACCTCGCAGAGCAGCAGGTCCATGATATGGAAGACCATGTAGAGAGGGAATTTTGCAGTGAAAAGTGTAAGAAACCACTGGGAGGCGTACATGTGTGCTTCAAGGCTGATATCCAGGAAGTGGTTGTACAGGTCAGGAATGTATTCCTGAAACAGTAAAGTAATTAGTTCTGGGCATATATGCAGCTCACCTACGTTTCTTAGCCTACGTTTCTTAGGAGGCTCATAAATCTGCCGGCAGTAGCCCAAACAGTCAAACACTTGCGTATCTCTGAAGTGCTTCAGAACACTTAGTGGCTATTTTCCATACTACAAACTAGCTGAGAGAAAGAGGAATTCCCGAGAACAGTGACAAGTATTGGGAAAGCCAGTTTTTATTTCCAAGTTGTGAAATGTTTTGGAAAAGTCTGCCTCAACTTTGGTAGGGGTATCGTCAACAGACAACCTTTGTAGCCCCGGGGAACATTTCCTCCCTGTATTTGCTATAGAAAAGGGCCTGACTAAGCAATTTGCTCTTAGGTTTTTTTCTACGACTGAAAACCCAGCTTAAACATATCAGATTCCCAGCACTGTTGGATCTCTGCATCCTCATCGCATAGTAAGAAACAACAGCAATAAAAGCCATTGTTCCCCAATCTATCTGCCAGAGTTTTGCACCTATCTGTCCAACCCAGCCTGAGTTCCCGTACCTGCATGAGGCGCTCCAACTGGTAGAACTTGCAATGTAGATCTTCAAAATTTTGCTTGAAAAGTTCCCTGAGGCCATAGTCAAACATGATCTTCACCAGAACACTGAATGCCTGTTCTTCGGGCATCTGTATCAGATGGGCAATGGAGGAGTGGGATACAAAATAATGACTCCAGCATCTTCAGCTTAGCCCTCCACTGTCAGGAAATGGAATGGCGCACAGAAACCCAGCTCTCAAGTTTTATTTAATACCATTAATTCACTCAGGCAAGGAATGTTAAAGGAGGGCCTACTTCATGCTACCACTGCCTTCCTCAGAGCAAGAGTGTAATGAAGTAGGAACTGGTAGAAGGGCTGATGAGCACCCAGGACAGCAAAGCTTGTGAATCAAGAGCAGGTTCCACGGGAGGACAGGCTAGAGGAGGACACACAGAACGTCTCAGCTCTCGGAAATAATGAGGCCTTTTTTCCAGTCATTTGACCTGTCTTTGCTACAGTGTCATTCTAGCAAAATTATTATTTTTTTCCTATCACAGTAAGAAATAGTTTTTGGGGCTGAAGAGAAGGCTCAGTGGTTAGGATCACTCACTTCCCTTGCAGAGGACCTCAGTTCCTACCACCCACATGGCGGCTCACAACATCTCTAACTCTAGTTCCTGGGGATCCACTGTCCTCTTCCAGGTTCTGTGGGTACCTACAGAACTATCATGCACATAAGGTCCTGCAGGCACACACAAATACACATAAATTAAAAATAATTCTTAAAAAGTAGCTTGTCTCACAGGGCGGTGGTGGCGCACGCCTTTAATCCCAGCACTCGGGAGGCAGAGGCAGGCGGATCTCTGTGAGTTCGAGACCAGCCTGGTCTACAAGAGCTAGTTCCAGGACAGGCTCCAAAACCACAGAGAAACCCTGTCTCGAAACAAACAAACAAACAAACAAAAAACAAAAACAAAAAGTAGCTTGTCTCTAAAAACAAAACAAACGAATAGCTTATTCTAGAAGAGCCTTCCACACCCTCAGGTCTATGTTATCACTCACAGTACAAGAGCAGTGGTGGCAGAGGCATTGAGCTGCCCTCCTCCAGTTCTGTCCACAGATGCCCATTAGGAATAAGCGTATCTTTCATGACTTTATGGAACATGCCTCCAAGAATATGGAGAGATGTCTAAGTTTCAAAACAGAAGGCAGGCACTGGCAATATTAAGAATCCATTTAACTGTAGCAAGCTTCGGAAAAATCAAGATGGTGGGAGGGCTACTGAGGAACACGATACTGGAAGTGGGCAGAACACAGGATCCAGTGAGAAAATAGCACAGCAAAAGCAAAACATGACCAAGTGCAGCCTGGGAAGGACAGGCTGTATGGGACAAATGTTAGAGGTTCTGAGATATTTCCTGTACATGTGAGGGAGAAGTGGCTTCATTTGTGTGGCATTTCTGATGCTGGAAACACTTAACACAAAGGATGCAGTAGGAGTTCTAAATAGGACTAGAATTTGAAGAAGCCATTTCCAAGGGGTGGTGATAATTAAATGGGAATAAATGTTCTTTGTGTGAAACTACAATAAATAAAAGATGAATCATATGTATGCATGACTGAGACATAAAATCTATCTAAAACAACAAATTAAATTAAAGAAAAAAACAACTGACCTGTTTATTAATGCCATAGCATTAGCATATATTCCAAATTTCCCCAAATATTCTAATTGACCCAGAACCAACCTTGTTTTATTCTGTAACTCTGTTGTACCCGCTACAGACATCACCACGCTGAGCTCACAGGAAAGAAGACAGGGCTAAAATTCTAAGACTTCCTGCCCTCTGAGAGCAAACATGGAAGCTTTATTTTGACTTGCATGGTTTCCTGGTGGGCCCTTGTCCTCTCTAGCTCTGTCTCTTTCTTCCTTCCCTTTTTGCCACTACAGTCACACTAGGCCTCTTTTAATTTCATACATTTGAAAATTTTCAGCTTCTATAATATTATATGATCCCCTTTGACAGCAATGTTTTACTCTATTTTCATGCTTTTAAAATATTTCTATTGCAACATAACAAAAGGTTAAATGATACTGAAAAGTATATAGCAGAGTGACAGCCTTTTTTGTTTTTCAGTGTGCACTGAACTTAACAGTTATCTGCCAAGAGGAAGGAGCCTTTAATCTAAACAAAGTTCTCTGTTACAGCCTTACACTGTTCATTGCATTTTACCTGTACGGATCTATTAATGTCCCTGAAAGCATGCTTATACAGCTATCTGATATGGGAGTGTCACATATCAATCTGTTGATTTCATTGGTTAAGCAATAAAGAAACTGCTTGGCCCTCATAGGTTAAAACATAGGTGGGTGGAGTAAACAGAACAGAATGCTGGGAGGAAGAGGAAGTGAGCTCAGACTCGACAGCTCTCCTCTCGGGGGCAGACGCCTCAGAGAGACGCCATGCTCCCCTCTCCTGGGCAGACGCATAGTTCTGCTCACTGAGGCACACGCAATGAAGCTCCGACCCAGGATGGACGTAGGCTAGAATCTCCCTGGTAAGCCACCTCGTGGGCTACACAGATGATTAGAAATGGGCTAGTCCAGGTGCGAGAATTAGCCTAGAAGAGGCTAGATAGAAATGGACCAAGAAGTGTTTAAATGAATACAGTTTGTGTGTTGTTATTTCGGGCATAAGCTAACAGGTGGCCAGGGTGCTGGGGACACAGCCCCGCCGCTCTTATTACAACAGCTATCTGCTTACAGATGGTGGCGTTACTAGCTTGTCCTGTGCTCACTCTTAGCTTCTTATCTCCAGAAGCAGTCAGAATTGCTGATACTGCCTGTGTCGTGTTCTTGCCACACATTTATATTAAATAATGAGATGATTATGCAAATTAAGAATCTGAACATTTTATGGGACAATTTGTTTAATTTATTTTTTACACATCAATGGTTTGAAGCAAAGACGACAAGGTGGTTTTGTAAGGCAAACAGGTGCAGCATCTGATGTGCTGCTGGATCAGATGATGGTCATAAGAGTCCCATATGGCAGGGGGGGCGAGCTCATAGGTAGGACATTCACCCAGCAGGTTTGCCTTCCTGGGTTCAACCCCCAGCCCAACAGAACCCCCAGCAGCTCATGAAGGGCACATGCACGGGGATGGGGCACGGAGTGTGGACTGTGTGCTAGGCAGGAAGTCACATTACAGCTATGACGTAGAACACCCTGGTCCTTACAAGACAGGTTCAAATATTTGCTACTTTCTTTTAAAAGCTAATAAGCTGTGTTTGTGGAAATGAAAAATGAATAAAAAGAATAAATCAGTAACTAGAAGTCAAATGATGACCACTTAATATGGCTGTTGAGCGTAATGTATTTCTGACCTTTCTATCTACTTCAAGAAGTAAAGTTGAAGAATAAAGATCTTTATTAAACGAGCACATGAGTAGACTGATACTGAAAAAGCCTGATCTCTTCCCAGGATACAAATTTTCAAACAGATATTAATGACTGGCTATTTTACAGACAACAAAATGTCAACCACTACTGAAGTCTGTCTAACCTGAAAATAAAAAGGAAATCTAACCTTATACTAGTTTATTATACTGCCATTTATCCTCATCAGGTTTCTCTTCACAGAGCCATTAAGTTAGAGTTTCTAAATACAAGTTCTGTCCAGGAATATGGCCAAACCTAGCCTTAGCCATATTTAAGCCCAAGGAGGTCTGTGTAGTTGTGACACAGACTCAACTTACGTGGAGAAGCAGCACAGCCGCGAGGAAGGACTGGCCCTGGCAGTAACCAATTTCTTCATCGTACACAGAGTATGCCTGCACAGGGACAAAAAACAAAGTGCTTAAAGTGATAACCCATTCACTGGGTGGTGGCAGTATCCCAGCACTCAGGAGGCAGAGGCAAGTGGATTTCTATGAGTTCAAAGCCAATCTAGTCTACAAAGCCAGTTCTAGGACGGGTTCAAAAGCTACACAAAGGGGGCTGGAGAGATGGCTCAGTGGTTAAGAGTACTGACTGCTCTTCCAGAGGACCAGTGTTCAATTCCCAGCACCCACATGGCAGCTCACAACTGTCTGAAGATCCAGTTGCAGGGGATCTGACACCTTTGTACCAATGCACATAAAAAAATAAAGTTAAATAAACCATAAAATATTTTAAAAAAAGCTACACAAAGAAACCCTGTCTGGAAAAACCAGAAAAAGGGGCATGAGTCTAGGACCACCAAGGGAGCAGGCAGGAAATCTCTGTGGGTATGGGCGTTGGCCTGGGATGTCAAAGGGAGTAGGCAGGGACCAGAAACCTCTGTAGGTCTGGGACCTCTGAGAGAGTAAGTTGTCTGCCGATCCAGGCGCACCCAGTTCTGTGACCTCCAAGGTAGAATATCAGAGCCAGAGACCTTTACAAAACCAACCCCAAGCCAGGGACCTCCACAGGAGCAGATCCTGACCAGGGGCATTTACAGAAACAGGTCTGAGCCGGAAACCTAGATCAGAGCAGGCCTGAGACTGAAAACTCCAGAGGAGCAGAGCAAACCAGGAGCACTGAGTGACCTCCAGAAACACAAAGTGACCAACAGGGTAATTAGAACCGTGGCACTGAGTGTACCATGAGGAACAACCATCCGAGTCTTGAATCCACTGGCACTTAAAAGATTAATCAACAGGATCAAAGACAGCCCTATTAGAGGAAAAGATGAGTAGACAAGGTAAGAACACATGCAACACCACAGAGAGCAACACAACACCAGTTAAATCTAGAGACCCTACAACAGCAAGAACTGAACAACCAAATATGAATGAAGCAGAAGAAAATGACCTAAAAAATAACTTCAGGAGAATGTTTGAACCTCTGAAAGGGGAAATGAGAAATTCCCTCAAAGAAATGGAGGAAAAGACAAACAAAAAAATTGGAAGACATCAGCAAATCCCTTAAAGAAAACTAAGAAAAAGAAATCAAACATATGAAAGAAACTATTCAAGACTTGAAAACTGAAATAGAGACAATAAGGAAAGCACAAGCCAGAGTATTAAAGAAACAGAAATCATGAGAAAACCATCAGGAACCACAAACGCAAGGATGAACAGCAGAATACAAGAGATATAAGAGAGAATCTCAAGTGCTGAAGATACATTAGAGGAAATAGACTCATTGCTCAAAGAAAACATTAAATCTAACAAAAGCTTAACCCAAAATATCCAGGAAATATGGGACACCATAAAAAGATGAAACTTAAGAATAATAGGTATAGAAGAAAAAGTTCAACTCAAGTACAGAAAATATATTTAATAAAATCATAAAAGAAAACTTTCTTAACCTAAAGAAAGATATGCCTATAAAGATTCAAGAAGCTTTCAGAACACCAAACAAACTGGATCAAAAAAAAAAAAGTCCCCTTGCCACATAATAATCAAAATACTAAACATACTATAGAATAAAGAAAGAATATTAAGAGCTGCAAAGGAAAAAGGCCAAGTAACACATAACGGCAGACCTATCAGAACTACACCTGACTTCTCATTGGAGACAATAAAAGACAGAAGATCGTGGTCAAGTGTTATACAGACATTAAGAGACCTCAGATGGCAGCCCAGACTATTATACCCAGCAAAACTTTTAGTCACCATAGAAGGACAAAACAAGATATTCCATGACAAAACCAGATTCAACCAATAAGTAGCCAAAAACCCAGCCCTAGACAAATAGTAGAAGGAAAACTCTAACCCAAGGAAGTTGGCTACATCAACAAAAACGACAATTGATGGTCTCATAGCAGCAAAATCACAAAGAAGGGAAAAACACACAAATTAACATCACCAACAACAAAAAATAAATTCACAGCAGATAGCAATCACTGGTCATTATTATCCCTTAACATAAATGGACTCAATCACCTATAAAAAGACACAGGCTAATAGATTGGACACAAAATCAGAATCCATCTTTCTCCTGCATACAAGAAACACACCTCAACCTCAAAGACAGACATTGCCTCAGATAAATGGAAAAAAATTTTCCAATCAAATGGACCTAAGAAACAAACTGGTGTGGCTATCCTAATACCTAACAAAATAGACTTCAAACTAAAATCAATCAAAAGAGACAAAAATAAGGACTTTTCACATTAGTCACAGGAAAAATCCATCTAGAGGAAATCTCAATACTGAATATCTATTCCCCAAACACAAGGGCTGCCTCATATGTCAAATACTTCTAAAGATTAAAACATACATTAAACCCCACACATTAATAGTGGGAGACTTCAACACTCCCCTCTCACCACTGGACAGGTCAGTCAGACAAAAAAATGAACAGAGAAATAAGGGAACTAACAGATTTATGACTCAAATGGACTTAACATACATCTATAGAATATTCCATCCAAACACAAAGGAATATACCTTTTTCTCAGCACCTCATGGAACCTTCTCAAAAACTGACCACATACTTGGTAACAAGACAATTCTCAACAAATACAAAAAAATTGGAATAACCTAATGTATCTTTTTAGATCACCATGGCTTAAAACTGAAATTCAAGGGCAATACTAATTCCAGAAAACCCACAAACACATTTTAGAAATTACACAATGTTCACCTGATCAAAAAGGGGTCAAAGAAGAGATAAAGGGAGAAATCAAACACTTCCAAAAATTCAATGAAAATGACCACATAACATACCAAAATTATGGGGACACAATGAAAGCAGTGTTAAGAGGAAAGTTCATAGCACTAAACACCTACATGAAAAACTGGAAAACTCCCACACTAGTGAATTAATAGAACCTTTGAAAACTTTAGAACAAAAAGAAGCAAACTCACCCAAGAGAACTAGAGGGCAGGAAATAATCAAATTGAGAGCTGAAATCAACAAAATAGAAACAAAGAAGACAATACAAAGAATCAATGAGACAAAGAGTTGGATCTTGGAGAAAACCAACAAAATAAATAAACCTTTACCCAAACTAACTAAATGGCAGAGAATACCCAAATTAACAAAATCAGAAAATTAAAAGAAGCCTAAACAACAGACACAGAGGAAATACAAAGAATCATCAGGTCATATTTTGAAAACCCTATACTCCAAAAAATTGGAAAAATTAAAGGAAAAGAACAACTTTCTGGATAAATATCACTTACCAAAATTAAATCAAGGCCAGATAAGTAAATTAAACAGACCTATAAATGCTGAAGAAATAGAAACACTCATCAAAAGTCTCCCAACAAAAAAAGCCCAGGACCAGATGGTTTCAGCTCAGAATTCTACAAGATTTTCAAAGAAGAACTAATATCAATACTCCTCAAATTGTTCCACACAATAGAACCAGAAGGAACATTGCTAAACTATTTTTATGAGGCTACAATTACCCTGATACCCAAACCACATAAAACATTACTAAGAAAGAGAATTACAGACCAATTTCACTCATGAACACTCATGCAAAAATACTAAATAAAATACTGGCAAATCGAATCCAAGAACATATCAGAACCATCATCCACCATGATCAAGTCGGTTTCATCTCAAGATGCAGGAATGGTTCAACATACAAAAAAAAAAAATCTGTCAACATAATCCACCATATAAACTAACTGAAAAATAAAAACCACGCAGTCATCTCATTAAATGCCAAAAAAGCTTTCCAGAAAGTACAACATCCCTTCATGATAAAGGTCTTGGAGAGAGCAGGGATACAAGGAACATACCTAAACATAATAAAGGCAATATATAGCAAGCCAACAGCCAACATCAAACTAAATGGAGAGAAACTCCCAGTGATCCCACTGAAATCAGGAACAAGACAAGGTTGTCCATTCTCTCCATATCAATTCAATATAGTTCTTGTGGTCCTAGCTAGAGCAATAAGACAACAAAAGGAGATCAAGGGGATACAAATAGAAAATGAATAAGTCAAAATCTCACTGTCTGCTGATGATATGATCGTTTATATAAGCAATCCCAAAAATTCTACCAAGGTACTTCTACAACTCAGAAATACTTTTAGTAATGTAGCAGGATACAAAATTAACTTGAAAAAATCAGTAGCCCTCCTGTACACAGATGATAAATGGGCTGAGAAAGGAATAGGGAAACATCCCCCCTTCACAATAGGCACAAATAGCATAAAATATCTCAGAGTAACTCTAACCAAACAAGTGGAAGACTTGTATGACAAGAACTTTAAATCTTTGAAGAAAGAAATTGAAGAAGACACCAGAAAGTGGAAAGATGTCCCACACTCTTGGGTAGGAAGAATTAACATAGTAAAAATGGCAATCTTAACAAAAGCAACCTACAGATTCGGTGCAATGCCCAGCAAAATCCCAGGAAAATTCTTCACAGGCCTCGAAAGAACTCAACTTCATATGGAAAAGCAAAAAGTCCAGGATAGACCAAACAATCTTGTACAATAAAAGAACTTCTGGAGGCATCACAATCCCTGACTTCAAACTCTACTACAGAGCTACAGTACTGAAAACAGCCTGGTATTAGCATAAAAACAGACAGGAGGACCAACGGAAATGAATCAAAGACCCGATTATTAATCCACACACCTTCGAACACTGATTTTGATAAAGAAGAAAAAAAATATTAAGTGGGGGGAAAAAAAGCACATTTAACAAATGGTGCTGGCATGACTGGATATCAACATGTAGAAGAATGAAAATAGACCCATATCTATCACCATGCACAAAACTCAAGTCCAAATGGATCAAAGACCTCAACATAAAGCCAAACACAAAGAACCTCATAGAAGAGAAAGTGGGAAGTACACTCGAATGCATTGGCACAGGAGACCACTTCCTAAATATAAGCC